GCTATTCGTAGTCGAACCTGAATTGAAGGTGTTTTCGGAAATAAGTGACCACTGTTATCCTCGATCTCACGGTGGGCGCCAAACTGTTTACCCAATAAATGGATAGAGTTGAATTTATACGCGGTTCCGAAGATATGTGGTACGACTTAATACAGAACGCTAAGATAAAATAAAAGGATGAATATAGGTTGGAGAAAACGTAATCCAGGCAAGTCAATTATGAACAGTGAATTTAGGATTTTACAAAATAGAATCAATGTCCGAAACTAGAAAGATCACTCTTTTCTCATAGAGAAAATAATACAGTTTGTGACAGTCTAAGTCTCCAAAAAAGGATGCCCTCTAAGAATGATAAACAAGCCCTTTTATAGTGAAGGGGTTTGGCTACAAGTATAATAAAATAAACATTCAGTGGGAGACCCATGATAAATCAGCTTTTCCATAATTTCGGCCAAGATTTCCTCTAGTGGGATTACAACGGCTTTTGTCTGCGAGCTCGATCTTGCTTAGAATCCTCGATTTTGGTTCGAGCTTGATTTCGGCTCGAACTCGTGATCTTGGTTCGAGCCCGATCCCGGTTCGAGCCCTCGGATGGATTCCAGGTCGATGTAGGTTGGTTTTTGGATTATCAGCACGATAGATCTACCCGCGCCATGGTTCGATTCTTGTTCGAGTTTGATTATGATATCGATCTCAACACGGACCGGCCTCCCCGGACTCTAGGTTAGTTCGTGCCCCCCTTCGGGATCTAACTTCGATATACCACCCTCCGAACCGTACCGGTCATGCCAAGGCTGAAATCCATTTCGACCGTATACACAAAGCTCAAACGAAAAGATGATGAATTAGTTTACGAAACCCCCAGCTCTATGTAACCATCATTCATAGCTTATCGCACCAGCCACAAGGTCTGGAAAAAACGCGTGAGAATATCATTACGACTAGCAAGCAAGAAAGACCATGCACAAACTACCATAATGGACATGTTGAAGAGCAAAGTTGAAACGACTAGAGGAATTCCAGAAACTGAAATTGATCGAGTAGGTTATAAGAACATTTACTCAACAAAATCTTAGTTAAAGCTTTTCTTAAGCATAACAGAAATAATCTGCGATTATTTGTTCCCAAAAATAGATACAGCACAAGAGGTAATCCAAAGCTAATAATAACGGAAATTCTGGAATACAAGATTATCAAATAACAAACAGGAAACCATAATCAGCCTGTTAAATTACAGGACTATGCGCAATTCCTTAAAGATTACAATGTGCTCTGAAACAAGAACTGCTACGACAAGCTTTCGTCTTTCATAGGAATGTGAGTTAGTTCGTAGCGAAACTAAGTAGGTGAATTTATAAATACAATTTATCTCAAACCTAAAAGATATAGATCACTAGGTAATTTCAAGCATAGCACAAGTATCGTACAGACATCATGATGAAGCAACACACCTTCCGATTGTTACATTGTACATCAACATTACAGGAACATTTATGCAAATTCCTGCAAAGTGAGAGGACGTTAGGTCAACACAAAAAATTGAGACGCATGACCCAACAATCAGGTAAAAGAAGACAATCATCCTATGTTATGAAAAGCCAAATTAGGAACCAAAACCAAATGAGTGCTAAAGAGTGCTGGAAAAAAAAACAAGGACACAGCTCTAGCACAGACACAAACTGGGTCATGGTACATTGCACCATGTTTTGAGAAAGTATCCAAACAGAATCTTATTAAGAAGATAGTTGATAATCCTGTGGAACTTCTCCTAGAGGAACCTTGATTATTCAATATTTGAATTTAGACCAGCAATGCATAGCTCCCACATTGGATTAAAGTTTATTCTTTATTGAAACTTTATCGAAATAATGCATGGTAACCTATGAGAGCAGAATAGTAAAATTTGTAGTGCAGACACTTACAAGCACATACTTCCCTCGACAATACTAATCTTCACTGTGTTCCTTGCAACAAAAACTCTCAATACTCATCTCTGGATAAGCATTTCTACTGGCAACTGCATGCTTGCGTTCGTTGGCAAAACTAATCAGCCAACTAAAATCTAAGAATCAATAATACTGCTCACACATCCTTCAGTTTACATATGCTCATGACGTCACAACAAATACTTGCTACAGAGCAATATCAAGAAGCACATCTCTTGCGGCATAGAGGTCATTTACTTTAGTAAAGTTTGTTCCCACAACATTAGTCACCAATGGTGGCCCTGGCTGCAACTTTCCATCACTGGAAGGCAGAAATGTTTTTTCTAGACCATGTGAATATACAGCTTCAGCAGGATTCTCCGCTCTAGTTGCATTTATTTTACTCTCAGTCAAGGGGAATCCAAAGATCCTGCAACTGGTTTTACACATGGAAACTAAGTTTTGAGACGACTGAGTCCCAAGAGAAAGATATGACATTCCTGTTTGCTTTTGCTCCTTTAAGAAACTAAAAGAACTGATTCCTTGAGTGTCTCCCTTCCTACTGATGTCCTCAGCATGTGAGCCAGATGCAAGATGCCTACTACAGCTCTCAGACATATCAAAAGCCTGGGTAGCAGTCTCAAGCTTCCCATGTTTATGATTGAACATAGCCTGGAACTTTGACGCTGGAGACCTGGGATGCTGAAAGCTGAGCACAGAAGGTGGTGATGATGCCGGGACAAGAGTACTTGGATTGCAATGACTGCGATTACCCTGATTTGGAGCAGACCACCTGCTCACGTGGTTTGGAACCTGAATACCGACGATAATACCAGTTCTACTTTTTTCCTGCATTAGGCTACCAGCATGACCTCTCCCATAAGGAGGGGTTGAAAAAGTTTCTTGACCTTGCAAGACCTTATTGAATCGAGAAGAATCACTAAAGCCAATGCTTTCAGGGGACTTGTCAGTGTCACCAAGCAGGGTTCTGATGCTGTTTCCCAATCTAGATGCCCCAGAACTAGGAAAACCAGGAAAGCATCTTATCCCCGCTGTACGAGGACTGTGAGCATCAAAACCGACAAAAGGAGAACTAATCCCCAAAATTTCTTGACCTTGCAAGACCTTCTGGAACCTAGAAGATTCCCCAAAGTCTGATACTGCAATCCCATCTGTAAGACGTGAAGGTAAAGACTACTTACTACCGATGGAGAAGCATCATGCTACTAGATAAAAGCGGGAATGAGATGTGCGTGTGTGACTCAATATACATATATGTTGTGTTTGCACGTGGGTGAGAGGGAAGGGGTGTGAAGGGAAACCTCTAGGAATTGGAAAATCGGCCTTTGTAATTGGAAAGCCAACCCTGGTCCTCTTCGCAGAAGGCATCACCAAGCTGCTGGATACAGGAGCTGAACCAGATGGCTCAATTTCCCACGGTGAAACCCTATTATGCCGAGAAACATCAAGATCATCCCACCTGACCTGAGATAGCCATTGTAACACATTTAGTCAGCAGCAAAACAATACTCCCAGGGACATGAGAAAGAGAACTGTGCACATGTCCACTAATTCAACAATTTGTTTGGTCAAAAACAGATGGAGGTATCATTAGCTAACTTAAGAAGGAAAAAGAAAGCTAGAACAGACACATTAGATTCCCAGGGGAGAAATATACACACATATGAGGGACCTCCATAAATTGAAGACCGAACTTACAAAAACTATTGCGGTTTACTGTTTGCCCGAATATGTAATAATTTTTTTTGGTAGTCTTAATAAGGTTTCGTGATTTATTCATAATCATTCCACCAAACACTTCAAATGGTAAGGAAATTATTAAGTTGCAGAAATTGCTAACACTAGTGAATATATTTACTTACAAATTGCTAACTCTAGTCTCCAGACAATCACAACAAATTCCAGAGTCATAAACATATCTTCCCCTTCATTTATTATTTTCATTAATTTTGATAAATCTGAGTATTCATTGATCATATACCAAGATGGTGTCAAGCATTCATTTAATCTTTAGGTATAAAGAGAAAAATTACTGTGCAAACACGATAAATGACTAGGGTTAGTAATTCACATACTGTTTGCATACTTTTAACACTGCCGTGCTGCGTTATTAATGATGTAATCTCGATTCACCTCAAAAACACACACGCACACACACAAAAAAAAGAACTAGAGTCAAACAGCAAAAAAAAACAAGTTAAGCATGTCATCAAAGGAAAGAATGGACTGCACATGTTGCCTCTTGGGATATTATTGTTCCTATACAACTCAATGTTCCTGACCCAGGGAGCCTAGAATACAAAAAAATATATGCTGAATATTCTTATTTCCATTTAAAGCTTTATAGATATGTGATTAAGCAGAAACATGTAACACATGCAAGGGTGCCTATTTAGTTAAAACCAAGGAACAGTGTGCAAAATGCAGTATCGGCCCCCATCCCTAGGACCATTAAACCTGAGTGGGAAAAAAATTTCCTCCTATATTTTCGATTAATAAACCATATGTTAAGTGGAGTATATAGGTTAAGCTTTATGCCATCAGAACACAAGAAGTGCAGGACATGTAGCATACCAATAGGCACCTCCATTTAGAACCAGGCCAGCGAACTGGATCTACATCGCTGACTCCTACAACAAGTCCAGTGAACCTGATACATGCTCATCAGATATTGAAATAACAAGTTTTGACCAATGAAAGTGTAAACAACCTCCTTTTGATCCAAGTCAAAAGCGCAAAAAGAAGAATAAAAGTATAGACTAACCTTTGTTCAGCTGCATCTTCTGTTTCGACACGCATCTTAAATCTCATTCCAGCTGAAAAGGGATGTGCAAGAGTCTTTGAGAATTTGTGGTAAGGTATAATGAAGCCTGATGAGCTAGCCCTGAAATATACAGATTCACAGGTACTAAGGAAAAATGGCAGAGACGGACAAGTAGATTCTAGGATAGAAAATTAATATTTATTAAGTGTAAACCCAAAGTCTACCCTGTTAGAAACGTACTTTATTCGGAAATCTAACCAATTTACTATTTAAGCGGAATGCTACATTGGTTTCATAGGACTTAAAATTAAGTTAATAACTAGCTCGAACTATTTTTATAAGTATAAACAGCTCAATCTTTAATGTTGTGTTAACAGAAATCTTTTGTACATTGGCCAGCTAAGCCACTGCTTTGCATTTTAGAGACAACTTCCATTATTACCGAAGTTGTAAACGAGCAGAATCAAGTGCACTCAAATAGCAGTAGATGAGCTCCCACAGCTAAGACAGCACTTTCATCATATAAAAATATCATGTCCGTATTGTTACACTTTACTATTCCACTCAAATCATTTGTCTCCAGACGAAAACCTGGATTTGCATTGCTTACAAACTGCACTCTAGCTTACTAAATAAAGAAAATTTACATGGTATGAAAGAGAAAGTAAAACGGAAGATAATGGAAAATATTGCATTTGAAAATCAAGGTTTTAATTTTCAGTAAATACGTATACACAAGCAGCTGAAAGGAACAGGATATGAAGTCATCACATGCATACCTAAAATTAATAAAACTTCTGAAATAAGATAGTGTTGGAATAACATTGCTAGGATTTTCTTTCAGATATTGAATACCTCGGGTTATAACAGATGCTGAAGGCATTTGTGCTAGATATGGCATTAACCACATCTACAATACCACTGACATTCAACAGTTGGCTATAGGCAGCTAGATAATTTGAACATGTTTTAGCTTGGGCAGCTCGTCTCACTCCTAGCCTAAGTTCTCCATCAGCAGTCCTGCAAAAATGATGGGAACATGAGAAAGAAAACAACATAATGCAGAATACCTTCCAGATTTAGCAGTTCGCACCTTAAGAAAAGCACAGCGTCACCAGAAACAAGCTTCTTCTTGTTTACAAACGCACTCCATCCTGTAGTGAGCAGATGCCTTCGTGGCTGACCTGCAATTTGAAGAAGTTCAATAAAGCCACCCAGAGCATTTTTTCAATCAATAAGAATCCAAAGAATAGCAGTCTGTTGTACCGCGATAGATATGCCGAAATTTCCACTCGATACCATGTAGATCTTTGGCTACCAGCTCCTGTGAGGGCCTCTGTTGTCTGTAATCCTGTAGTAATAACAATGTGCTCATGTAAGTCAGATAAACTCACACAAATACATCAAAACACTCTCATCTACTGTTTACAAATGAAGTTAGTTTAAAGAAAGCTTTACCAATGGAGGAAAGCAATCTTCTGCAGCCCGGCGAGGGACAGAAAAACCGCCATGAGTGCTGGTATCCGAAGCAGTGAGAGTCTTGCAGAACATGTGTGGTGTTGTTGATTTTCCAGCACCTTCTATTTCCTCCTCTTCAGTATCTGCATCAATGTCTCCATCCCTCCATTTCTGCTCAATCTGCTAATGAAATGAAAATGCTACAATGAACTCGAAGAAAAAAAAAATCAACAAAACTAGAGTTTCGGATTTTTGTATTCATGTTTAATACTATCATATACAAGCATCTTCAATAAATCCTTACTTTATGAAGAAGAACTCTACCTAACTCTCAAGAAGATTGAAATATCCAAGTTCATGATAATTTCAATTTCTGAAAAGCCACATATTTACCTCCTCATTCTCTTCTTTTTTCTGGTCGAATAAAGCTCCAATTTTGGCTATCAAACAACAACGCTTAAAACAGAGTAAAATAACCCTGACGNTTGAAAAAAAAAAAAAAAAAACTAGAGTTTCAGATTATTGTATTCATGTTTAATACTATCATATACAAGCATCTTCAATAAACCCTTACTTTATGAAGAAGAACTCTACCTAACTCTCAAGAAGATTGAAACATCCAAGTTAATGATAATATCAACTTCTGAAAAACCACATATTTACCACCTCATTCTCTTCTTTTTCTGGTTGAATAAAGCTCCAATTTTGGCTATCAAACAACAATGTTAAAAAACAGAGTAAAATAACCCAGACAATGCCTATATTAACCAAGCTTTACCGAAAGGAACTAAATTCAAGCAGCTAGTATAACACATTCAAATCAGAAAACAATTGAAGAGCATTATACCTGATTGTCTGGAACCAGTGAGACTTGTGCATAGACCTCATCACTCGCCGCATCAGCCTGTAATTAATTGAGCACACAAATGGGAATCAAATGCCAGATAACTAACAAATATTCAAAACTTTATACAATTAACAGTATGAAGAGTAAATATACAAGCAAATATATAACAATACATTAAAAAATTTCAACAAAATTGACAGTAAGCATAGGGAAAGTAAACTAACTCGTAGCTTCACGTCTACGACGCGACAAAAAACGTGAGGAGGGAGGTTATAGGCTATGGGCGGGTACTCAGAGAGATGTTCCAAGTGACCTTGAGGTAGGTACACAACAGCACTTCCTTTCTTTGGCAGAGAAATCAACGGTCCAGCACACGCATGCCACAGCTGCATACACACCGATGCCACTGCCGGCAGAGATGACGACGTCAAATCCGAACTTCCAGACGCGGTCGACGATGACGCTGGTGACACCGGCACCGTCGTTTCTTCTCCGACGTCATCGTTGTCCACAGTATTTAGATCAATAAGTCCACACATCATCTTCAAACCCTAAGATTAAACACACAGAAATTCGTGAAATTCCACACAACTACCAAACATATATATCACATAAACATATGTGTATGTGTATGTGTGTGTGTGTTAATAAATGAATATATAAACAGAGTAATTAACACAGAGAGAGTACCTTTTGCTAGTTCAACTGCGCACTCACCGCATTGCATAAAGAAGATGACTCTGTCTTTCTCTTTCTATCTCTTTATTTACTTTCTCTCTCTAAAAAGTAAAATGCTTTTTTCTACATATCAAATCACACTTTATGTGAGTGTCCTTACACAGCTTACAGTATATCGAAGTGTATATCTCCTAGATACAAATAAACAACATAACATAAATATATATAGATACAGAAAAAGTTGTACGTATAGATGAACCTGCAAATTGCAGCAGCTGTGAGAGCAGCGCTGCAACTGCTGGGTAGAGGGGGCAATAACCAGGTGAGGGGGTTGGGTGGGGGAATGGACGAACAGTAGAAGTCTATAATTAGATATGTCCATATGTATGTATATCCTCTAGATACAGTATGATTTGTAGGTATATATTTATATTGTATGTATATAATAATAATCATAGAGATAGTGACTGGTCACTCTGAGGGGGGTGTGGGGTAAAGGGAATAGTACAAAATGACGGGTGGAATGTATGAAAGACTCCCTGTATTTTCGGGGGATGTCTATTCTGTCCCCTTCTTAATCTACAAATCTCTACCATGTCCCTTTGCATTATTAAATTTTTAGTTACAAATTTGACTCTACGTCTCCAGACACAAATATTTAATCTTTTCTTTTTTGGTTTTAACAAAAGAAGCAATAATTTTGGTGCTTTTATATTTTGAAAGAGTAAGAGCAATAAATTAAGTCAATTGGATATTTTATTGTGACTCAAGACAAATAGAATGAGTTACTTATGTAAGATTTAGAAACTTCCCAAGCAGAATGTTCCTTGTTCGATGTGCATCTCGTATTAAACTATAAGTATGTTTTGCAACAGGGTTAAAATGCATGACAACGAAGGTTTTAGTGATTAACGTGTCAAAACAGAGGTTTTAGTTTAATACGAGATGCAAATTTAAGATTTTAAACCAGCACATGTAAGGTATTATGCAACCACTACTATTTTTTGTAACAATGAGTTCAATTTTCTCTGTGTCTACATCCATCCCTAAATTATAGACCTGTAAAAATACTGGCTTGATAAAAAAAATAGTGAGAAAAGTTATAGTACTTATTTAAATATTAACTTGACAAAGACCCAAAAAAAAAAAGTGTCTGTGTATTATAATACATTTCTAACGGACTCAAACTGTAATGTTGTAAATCTATAATTAAATATTAAAAAGATATATCGTTGTTGTTTGGGGCCTGTCGGGGTAGAAGAGTTCTTCATCAAAAAATTATATTGTGTATGTTAGATTAAAAAAATTATGTCTATATTAGATCTTTAATCTCTTTGACTTATTTGCATATTTATTTTTTATTTTTTAATTCTCTTATTAAAAATTATGCCTCGCTACCATTTGTTGTGGGGTAAAATTACCTAGAGTAACATGTTTTTACGAGGGACTTCAATAAAAATACTTATGGACTATAAAGTTGCAAGTTAGGAGAACCCTTTATTAGTTGTCAATTTGTCATAGTCTAGATTGTAAATTTTGCCGAAGGGGTTAATTACTATTTTCGACCACTCAATAACAACTTGTCGACCCTAATTTGGTAACTAATAAATAATGGATGTGTGGTACTCTTATTTTTTTGGTGAGCTATAGTGGCTAACATGTCTCTAAGCACAAATATGAGGGTGCCTCTATGCTACTAGGTATGACTGATATGTGTCTAAACTCTCAATGTTTCATATATTATTTCTAGTTTCATATACAGCATGTTAAAATATAGATTGATAAGGAGCAAAGTTAACTGAATCACAAATTGTGCATTAAATAACAAGATTGTATTAAACCAGCTAATCAATCAAATTAGTATCGAACTTAATAGTGATGCAACAAAGGGGAGTGCATGTATATGAAATTGCACAAGAAATAAAGGAAGTGTTTTTAGGTGTAGAAGAATAGCATAAGAGTGGTCCAACATGAATTTAAAATTGGCAAAGAATAAGGGAAAAGGACAATAGCAATTTTGATACAAAGAGTTTACTCCAACAAATATTAATATATATTTGTACAAACTTTGATAATTACTGATACCAAAAGGGTAGTCCCTAGTCTGGACAAAGTTGTCTCACAGTAATATAGAGAGAGAAAAAGAAAGGCAGTGACTTTCATCAGTGTCATTGAATTGCTAAGAACCCAACCATAGCCCATAGGAGCTATCTGAAGGAAGGGGGCCACAGCCAGCAAATTGCTGTTTGGCTTTAGTACGCCTGATATAATACCAACCCGGACAAAAACGGGTTAACCGTATAAAATCCATTATTCCGGTTTTATCCTATTTTTGGATATATTTTCTATACCACGCGCGTTTATATTGGTTTTCAAATTACTTTTACCTCCTCAAGTATATAGGTCTTGCAGTTTGATTCGCGAAAATATCATACAGTACTCCATACAAATTACTCCCATGATATAAAAGATTTTAATACAGAGATTAATAATTACATATTAAAATATATTAACGCATATATTTTTTGCAGAAATTATTTGGTTAATTATATTTAAAATGAGATATATAGTGGTATAATAATTTACTATTATACCTTTATTTTTTGAGTTAATAAAAATAGGAAGATAAAAATTAAGGGGCTAAATTTCACAAAGGGTTATATGACTCACTTTTTTTTACCAAAGTCATATAACTATATTTTCTCACATAAAAATCATAAGATTTTTACTAACTCACAAAAATATTATAGTGACAGAAAAAATATAACTTTTCAGTAGTATTTTCTTATTTCTTATTTTTATTATTTATTTTTAATAAATCAATTAAAATAGAAATATATATGTATTTAGCAGCTCCAAAAATAATAGTTAATAAAATATATATTTTGTATATATTTGTATTATATACATAATATACCTCTTTTATAAATATTAGGTTAGCGAATGCAATTAGTTTCGACCGACCAACCAATTTTTTGTATTTAAAATAGAAATTACCCAACCCGACCCAACTCAATACCCATATAGATAAAGTAAAATAGTTTTAAAAGTGAATCCTTCACCAAAAAAACTTAGTTTGGATGCATGAGATTCCGATAAAAAATATGGATAACTAGAGAGCTTTTGAAACAATAATGCTATCAATTTGAATGAAAAATCTTAAGATAAAAATAAAAGATAGAAGTATCGTGTTTTGGAAGATTTACTTTCAAAATTATTTTAATTTATATATGTGTGTATTGGGTCGGATGGGGTCATGTTGTGTTGGGTTATTATTTATTAGATTGATTTTTTTTAAATGTGGAATACAAAATTATTACAAAAAAATTGTGTTTTTCGATCATTATGATTTTTGTGTGAGTTAGTGAAAGTTTTATGATTTTTATATGAGAAAATACAGTTATATGACTTTGAGGAAAATAAGTCAAAGTTATACGATCATTTGTGAAATTTACCCAAAATTAAGGTGATTTTGCCTCACCTCATTAGAAGTTGATGGTAAATTCGAAGGTATCACACTAATTTGCTTAATTATATCAAAAAGGTTAAAAATGGACTTCCATATTGTAACGCTAAATAGTAGTATAAGATATTTATTTTTTTTAAATAATGGCCAAAGACAACTAAGTTATAAGGAAACACTACAAATTAGTTCATAATCAATTCCATATATATACCAACTTTAGTTACTAAATGGCTTCATACCTAGTCCTCATAGAAAAGAATTTCCAACGCTGCAATTAGTTAGTTAAGCTTTAAACAACTGCATTCCGATCGTTGGTTAAAATGCTTTCAGAAGGAAGGCGCAACAGGATAAATAAAAAATTAGAGGGAAAAAAAAAAAGCTAATCGATGATCTACAAAGGTCGAAAATATATTAGTTATCTAATTATCACAGAATAATTATTTTATTATAGATAAACATTGGAATGTTATGAAAAAGTAGTCTTATTTTTATAACTTCATGTTGTTGTTGTTTTCGTTCTGTTATTAGTTTTATTCATTATCATCATTACGATTGTCATTGCTATCGTTATTGTTATTATATTTCCAACATTTTTTTTTGTCTAATGTGAACAGAGTATAAAACTACATATTTTATTTGCTGAAATATATTGATCGAACCAAAAAGGAATTTTCAACACAATTTGGCAAAGGTAAAAATATATCGAGAAAATCTAGAATGCATTTAATAGTAAGGACTTTAAATTTCCTAGTTTAATAAAGCCATTTTAGTCAACACTGATAAAATAGTCCACCATGAGACGTTATTTTATAGATTGGCGCCATATTTTTTTTTATGTGTTTTGTATACGGTCAAAACCGGTTTCGACCTTCGTATGATTAGTCAAGATTGGAGCATAATGGACCGAAAGTCATTTTCATAATATCAGGTATGAGAGCCGAAGCCAAGTTAACGAGCTCAAATTTCTGGGACCGATCAAATACCGAACTCGAAGTCATTACCAAGCTCGAATCCAAATCGAACTATGATGCGAAACGGCATTGTCGAGCTTGAGAGCCAGAGACCGACCAATACCGAGCCTAAGTCAATATCGAGCCCCAAGCCAACATCGAGCCCGAGTCAATACCGGGCCCCGAGTCAACATCGGGCTCTAAATTTGGAAACCAACCAATACCAAGTCCGATCAAGATCGAGTCAAGGGACAAGAGCCGTTACAATCGCACTAAGGAGAGAGACTCTTTGGGGAAATTAGGGGAAAACTATTTTATCATAGGTTCCCCACTATATATTTTTAATTATATCCAAAGTAGGATCCCTCCACTATAAGATAGATGACTATTATTTTTGTAAGGCATGCATCATCAAGGCATTCATACACCCTCATATTATTGATATTCATAGAGAAAAATATATTGATATTCATAAAGAGATTATTCTTTTTTGGGTTTTGTATATTGATTCGTCTTGCTTGTTCATAAACCGTTTTCCACTCGGTTTGGTTTGTATTTCATTCTTTATACAGCTAATACTCAATATATTACTACTTACATTTTCGATTTGTGCCAAGTTATACAACATATTCTTAAAACTACATATAAATTCAACTCTATCCGTTTTTCGACTAAACACTTTTCATATTTAATCAAAACAATTTCATCCCCGACATCTGAACCGAGGCCGCTGATTATGAATGAAAGTATTTCATTCATATCACTACACTCTTTATTAGTTGGCCTGATCCATTTCATTACAACGCATATTGCCTTCTAATTTGTCAATCGGGTTCCTGACCGGCCAATCTGTACGAGATGAATAATCTAACAGCAAATTAGCATTAATATTAGAATCTAAACATACGACAATCTACTCAAAGAAAAAGC